GCTACAAAAAGGCTTAAAGCACCGCAGGACTGCGACATCGACAGTGCACGATCAAAGCTCACGCACGCATGCCGTTATCGAAGTGGAAATCATTACCAAGGATCTTCTCAATGCGCGCGATCAGGTAGTTGAGCGGCAATCCGAGCTTGTTCCTGTGGGGAAACATGCAACAGATGTCTACATTGAGGAACAATATCGCGCGATTGTCCAGACAGAAGAGGGGAAATTCGTTCCAAATCCCGATTATCAAGTGGATCAAGCACGCGTCGATGCCGCAGAGGCAAAAAAGGCCGAGTTTGAAGCTCGTGTGAAAGATGCAGAAGAGCATGAGTCTGGAGTGTTTGCAACTACCGCTCGAATACATCGATGTATTGGTGGGAAGCTTGTGTTTGTAGATCTGGCTGGTGCTGAATTTCTTTCCAGCACGACTGGGTCTGCGCTCAAACAAACCCCCCAAGAGAAGCAAGAAGGGAGGCAGATAAATACTGACCTTCTCGCATTGAAAGAAGTGATTCGAGCCCGATCAAGCAAGAAATCACGCATCCCATATCGTTCCTCTCCACTGACGATGGTGCTACGGGAGCACTTCGAAGCTTCAACCGATACTCATTCGGCTATGATCTTGACTGTCTCTCCGGAGGCCAGTCAGTATACCGCAACTATAAATACACTAAAATATGGAGATCTGGTCGGCTTGGCAAATGGACATAAGGCGTAAGTTAGGTATCATTCATAGTGATTTACTATAGAGGCCAGGTTCTCCAACCATGCTCTATTCTTCAATTAATTTATCCATTTATTATTGTAAGGTATACCCATTACTGTCCAGTATTTCATGACATCATCTAGCACAGCGATCATATCAACGGAAATAGTTCACTTTCGACTTTCATACTCTTGGGCTGCAAGGGCTCCGACACCGCAGATGTGCCTTGCCCCGCCAATCGTAGCGGGTTTTTAGTCATCCCCGCTTATCAAGCATCAATCCGCCACCGGACGTCGAATTTCTCTGTTTCTTGCGCCTGCATCGCATTTATCTTATTTTCCGTCGCTTGCTCTCACATACATTGCCACAAAGAGCAGCAATCTAAAATGGCGCCCTACGTGGAGGAGTTCGCCGAGGAGTCTCTAGCAGTATCGTCCAAGGCGCCTCCCAATCTTGTCGCTCCCGAACCAGGTACGCATGCGCGGAATCATTGACACAATCCACACACTAACTCCATACAGAACACTGTCCAGGCCCCGAATCGGAGCAAGCTGGTCAAGGCGATGCCTGTGCCGGTTGCCCAAACCAACAGATCTGCGCCACCGCGCCCAAAGGCCCTGACCCCGACATCCCAATCATCACCGAACGCCTCTCCCAGATACGACACAAGATCCTGGTCCTCTCCGGAAAGGGAGGAGTCGGAAAATCTACATTCTCAACCCTCCTCGCGCACGCCTTCGCCGCCAACCCAGACTCTACTGTCGGTATCATGGACACCGATATCTGCGGGCCGTCGATCCCCAAGATGATGGGCGTGGAGTCGGAGACTATTCACATTAGCAACGCCGGTTGGAGTCCCGTCTGGGTTACAGATAACCTGGGTGCTATGAGCGTGCAGTTCATGCTACCCAACCGGGACGATGCAGTGATCTGGCGCGGCCCCAAGAAGAACGGACTGATCAAGCAATTCCTCAAGGATGTGGACTGGGGCGAGCTGGATTACCTGATCGTCGATACACCTCCCGGTACCTCTGACGAGCACCTGTCTGTCAACTCTTTACTGAAGGAGTCTGGCGTTGACGGTGCCGTGGTTGTGACTACCCCGCAGGAGGTCTCATTGCTGGATGTTCGCAAGGAGGTCGACTTCTGCCGCAAGGCTGGCATTAAGGTATTGGGCTTGGTAGAGAACATGTCTGGATTTGTCTGCCCTAATTGCACCCACGAATCGCAAATATTCCGAGCGACAACAGGCGGCGGTCGCCGGCTGGCGAAGAAAATGGGCATTCCTTTCCTAGGTGCTGTCCCTCTAGATCCCCGCGTTGGCATGGCGTGCGACTTTGGCGAGAGCTTTGTGGATAACTTCCCGGACAGCCCCGCATCCAAGGCAATCAAGCGCGTCGTGCGTTTGGTGGGACAAGCGGTTGGAGAGAACCCGGATGATGTTCTCCCAGAAGATGTGATTGATTAAAATGCTTTCTTTTTGACTTATTTACACAGCGCGGTGCATATCGATTTCTGCGGAATACCTCGGCGTTTGGGACATACATAGCATACATAAACCATGACTTGATACGATTGGCCAAAATGGCAAATGAACACATGCATATTCACCACAAATTCGGATTCATATTTCAAGTGCTCGCTCTCCTTGGTCCTTAATAGGCTGCATATACCAAAGCCAGTTGATCGACCTCGTCATCGGCTTGTCCCATGAAACCCACAACCGCAAAGCCATCGGGGGCAGTAAACGTCTGACAAGAATCAGTTGCGGTGCCCGCCTCCAAGGTTTTACCAGCACTGGTAGTAGCCTTGATGTAAAAGTTGCGAGTGTGGCTATTATACTGTCCAGTACAGAGCTTGGTCTCCGTCCAATGCTCCCCAGCGCCCAGGGTAAGGGAGACCTTAGTGCCACCAGTTCCTCCATGGCTAAACGATGTGCCATCCTTCAACTCCAAAGCAACAGAATCCAGCCTGTTGGCACCAGAGAAAGTGATCACAGAAGCAACAGGCGATGAAGGGACCTTCGGCAGATCATTAAACCAAGTCCCATGGGGACCACCGGAGAACTGACTTTGTCGCAGCGACGACGAAAGCGACCAGGTGAAGTTCACAAGAATCGGGTTGTGATCGGAGAGAACAGCTCCCAGATACTTGGGGTCAGTGTTTGTGAACTTTCCGCCATCATAAACGAAGCTGTCTGCCTTGAGGGTCACAACGTCAGACCCCCGGTACAGCACTTTATCAACCGTCTCGCAGGTCTGAATAGACGACGGGTTGTCACATAGCAAGGCATCAGCCCCAGCTGTAGGGTAGACACCATCTTTCTCAAGCTCGACCCAAGGGTCTGCGAGGCCATTCTGCGACTTGAAGACGCGAATTGCCGTGTCTTCGGCGCGCGTGTATCGACTGTTTGTATCGCCCATAACTACGACAGCATTACCAGTCGACCAAGTGTCGATGTAATCTGCGACTTGCTGCAAGTTGGAGTTTCGGGCAGTTTCGTCATCAGCCTCAGTGCTTGGTGGGAGTCAGTCCTCAGATCGATTACAATGTCAAACTAGCTTTTACTCACCCAGCGTCGGCATGGACGTTGTAGAAGTCGACATAGACTCCATCGGCCGGGTTCCAGCGCATGAATGTCAAACCTTTCGGGGTCAGACAGTCTGAGCCGGATGCATCGGAGCATTTGTTCCATTTCACGCGCGTGAAATCCACCCAGTCGTGATTGGAGATGGTGTTCAGACCACTTCCGATGGCTGCGCCGCCGGATGTAGCGGTGCGGTAGGGGTGGTTATCTGTTTCATAGATATTGGCATGGTAGTTGAAATCCTAAATTGTGTTAGATCAATTGATATATTAGGACTGGATAGAACGGTACCTCCTGCATATTGATGATATCGTAGCCATACTCTGAGAAGTAGGTGCCGAGCTGCTTGGCATTTTCGGTTTTTGAGCCATTAACATCATTTGATTGGAGAAGTTCTGGGAGGCCGGCGACGTTGAAGCTCAGCGCCGTGAATTTACCACTTGTCTCCGCTGCGTTGGCTAATGCCGGCAGAAGAACGCTTAGGATAATGGTCTTCATCTGGAAAAGAGGGTACCTCGGTTGTTCGAGGTGCGATATATCCCAAAGCAATTGATAGAGTGAGCGTTTTCAAGGTGATTCAGGAAGTATTATAAAGTATTATATAGGATTTAATAACTCCGTGGCATAAATCCAACCACATCATATGAATAATTCTATCTAGGTAGTGATCTACAATCTTTAATATGCGATGGCCAGTCATACGCCAAGAATAAACGGCACAATATGCGCTACTACACATGTGCAGTCGATTGGCAATGATTGGCAGTATCATTTCCCCTTTCCTCTTAGATGCGTTTAGATATAGGGGAAGTCTCGGAGAAATGGTCCTGCAGAAATACTACCCACTAGCGTCAAGCCTGGTATTTCAGGGGTAGAATGTCTCAAGTCCTCGCAATTGTATACAACATAAACTGTCTCAAATCCTCCCAATTGTATAAACTGTCTCAAATCCTCCTAATTGTGTAAACTGTCTCAAGTACTCGCAATCGTAATCGTATCAGACTTAGCTTAGATAGGAGGTCGACTAATTGATATCCCTAGAGAATTTACACTATATAGTTGGAGTAGCTTAAAGGGCATTTCCGTGGCGGAATTTAACAAAGCCATGAATGAGGACGTCTGCGATGACAACATGGGTAAAAATACCATCTTCATTCGCCGAAGCGCGGTATCCTAAATATCTTGATTACTCCAACAATCTACTTCGGCTTTCCCTGTCGGAATTATTGATGCGAAAGATATGTCAACGGTTGACTACACAACACCTTGGTTGGAACTAAGAACTAGATCATCTAAAGGGCCTGTCTTTTAATGGTATTCATTCGATGGTTTGAAGATACTAGCTTACGCATTTATTTTGGCAACCCTTTAGTTCTCATCTCAAACATTTCGAGTTGATAGCTAGGTGACTGGAAATTATATATGTTGGCAAAAGCGGGAGTGAGTCTGATTTGTTTTGATAAGAGTGGCTTGGTGTCGCATATTGCTGGGAATCATGTCCCTTTGACCTTGGTGCATGCTTGAAGCTTGATTATCTTCCACGGTTTGGTTTTCGTGTGTTGGTAGACGCTCGGATGTTTAGGCGTAAAGAAGAGTCAGCTTCAACTGAATTTCTAGATTCATAATTCACGGGAGCCATAAAGTCTTAGATTCTCAGCATATTAAGTGCTACAAAGTATGTGTGTGGGGGCGTGAAACAAGAGTGCGTTAACAATATGTGGTTGATAACTCCTGCTTTACAAAGCCGGCCACTTCTTGGGCGACGCCCCAGGATATCTCGTATCCTCTACCACCAGCACCATATGCATGGACCACAAATTGACTTGCCGGTTCATGATTGGCCCTATTGACGTCCGATCTCGTAGCCCTTGCAACTTCCACACGCATGCCGCCTCTGCGGGTTGGTCGTCGACCGACTATATCCCGGAGAATTATATCCCGATCCATGAGAAAGTCCTTTGGCAAAGCTCTCAACTCTGCCGTGTCAATATTTTTGGAAAAATTGGACAAGAGCTGGTGTCGTGTGCTTGGTCTTGGCTCAACTTGCAAATCATTTGGTTCTTTGGTGCCTCCAATAACAGTCCCTCCATCGAGAATCCGAGGGATTATAAAACTCCATGTGCCATCGCCGTTTTGACGAGTTACTGTCTGCTTGACTGAAGTGAGGTTTGTAAGGATGGTTTGACCGCGAGTTGGAAAACATTCAGGATCATCGAACCCCATCCCACTCGCGTTGACCACAACGCGTACGTTGCAGCCAGTTATGTTAAACCCTTCCCATTCGCTGGCGAGACTTTTCCGCATGATAGATCCCCCACGTAAGAGAAAGGTTCGAACCAGGCTCTCACAGTATACCGGTGGGTTAACGCAGAAAGTGCTATAAGTGAACCCCATTTTTGTCCCAGCCGGTAGCTCGTCCGGCTGTAATGGACGATAACCGGATAGTCCACTTTCCGCAGTAAAGCTGGCCGTATTTTGGGCCTGATAAAACTCGTCCGGGGCGTCTAGGTATTCAGTACCAGTGGTCGCGGTGACTCCCCTCCAAGGCTCTCGCTTAGACTGCGAATCAAAAACTGCAACGGTATGCCGCAGCCATTCAGCCTCCCGGGCCAACTGCGGTGTACTCGCAGGAATAGGCCTCATATGCGCACCCGCCCACATTGAAGCGTAGTCAACGGAATGGTCCGCCTGCGAAGGAAATTCTCGTGCCACCAACACCATTTTGTACGAGCCCTTGGGAAGCACTGACTGAATAGCTAAGGCGCTGGTCAAACCAATTATACCTGCACTGCAAAAATAAAAAGTAGCGATGAGCATATTTTCCCCAGGTAAAAGGCTGAGATGATACATACCCAATGATCACAACGGTTGGTTGAGCATTGACCTCTGACATATTGCTAGTTATGGGTCAACAAGACAGTGGCCAAACGTCGATAAAATGCTGAGAGGGAGGACAGGGGGGGCCCAGAGCGATATAAATACCTCCCAATCTTTCCCTCACAGTGGTCAACAGGTCCGGTCATGCCGACACCGGCTATAAGAAAAGGTAAATAGGGGAATTTGATTGCGTGAGCATAACAGGAAATCCCGATCTTCATATCTAAAAATACATGCCATTGCTCGCGTAGGTGGTGGAGAGTTCACCACCAATCTTGTCAGCCTCCAGCGTGACTTCTACGGACTGTACGGGAGTATAGGGTCTGAATGAAATTATAAGAGAAGTGCGGAAGGCAAAAAGTGCTACCTATGTAGGTAGTATATAAATCTTGGTCAGAAGGGGAGAACACTAGGTACTGCCTCGGGTTACCTGGGCAGCAATTTCTGAAAGCCATCGAAACTTTCAGAGGAAAGAACGCCCACTAGCTCACTCATTCCAATATTCATGGAGTAGCTCCATGTCCACTTTATTGCTTGGTCTCAAATATGATGCCAGTTCTTCCACGCCGCCTGACTGCTCGCGTGTTGTCCACCCATTACCAAAGTAGGAGTATCTGTTCCCCTTTGCCTCTTCTGTTTTCTCATACGTAAAATCTTCCCACCTTGGATCGAAAGATGCTTGGATCCGGTGGTGCCCCGAACCTGGCCACCAGACAAGATTGCGCGGTTGAGGGCCTCGAGATTTCAGCCAGGAGCTACATGTGTCGTTGACGACCTTGTCCCGAAAGTAATCCTCACAAAAGTCGTTGAATTCCTGGACAGCCTCTTTGGATGGCGTGATAGAGCGGTAAGACTGCAGTTGCAACTTTCTGACCACCTTAGCAATGTACGTAGCGGATATCTCGCACTGCAGCGGTGTGGAACCGCCCCCTCCGTTGCTTTGTGCCTGTTTGCTTATTAGCCTACAAGAGCTACAATGACAGTTGAATAATGTAGCATGAGCTCACCTGAAGAATGAAGAAGTAATTTGGCATATCGGGTGCCATGACGCCAAAGTATGTATCCGGGTATCCTGTGGCACCGCCTTCGCTCCAAGTTTGGCTAATATCCACACCGTTGCGTCCAATGGTCGGGAAATATGGAACGAATCCATTCGCAAATCCGGTAGCAGCTATTATGACATCGACTTCTCGCTCGGTACCGTCAGCCGTCACGATGGCCTTGTCAGTGATGCTGACAATCTTTTCTTGGATGTAGCTGACATGGGGACTCTGAAGGGCCTCCAGGTAACCCGGCGCCGGTGTCAAGCGTTTGCATCCCGGCGCGAAATCTGGGATCAGCCTTTCTAGCCACTCTCTACTCCCATTCACCCGGCGAGACATCGTCTCTATACAGGCTTGGCGTAGCTCCTCGTTTTCTTTGCTTCTTAATATGTTGCGTTGGAACTTGGTGTGCAAGGTTGCCTCGATGCGTTGACGATACTCAAAGTAGGCCTGAGGGTCGTTCTCAAAATTTGCCATCTCCGCTTCGGTGTACTGGTAAGCCCCAGGATTATCAGCTCGGGCCTCAATCCCGTTTTTCAGAAAAGTCGGGGTTACCCAAACTCTTGATCTCACATAGTGGTCGATGTGTGCCACACTTGGTAGTAGATTGGGGAGGATCTGTTGACCGCTGGCGCCGTTTCCAATGATAGCAACCCTTTTACCATTTAGGTTATAGGCCGAGTCCCAAGCTCCTGTATGCATAACCTTGCCCTTGAACTCAGTCAAGAGGCCCGGAATACTTGGCATTTGTGGCTCGCTCAGCCTTCCCTGGGCGTTGATGAAGAAGTTCGAATGCTCCAAGATGATCTCTCCTGTCCGTAGATTCTTGATCTCAACTTCCCATTGAGCATCTTCGGACTTCCATGTCGCCTTCAGAACTTGGTGACAAAGCTGAATGCTCGATTGGAGCCCGTATTTTTCAACGAGTTCCTCATAGTACGTGCGAATTTCGGCGCCTGAGGAGTAATACTCGGACCAACGCGGATTTGGCGCAAAAGTGGTTTCTATACACGTCAGAGAAGGCTCAAGGGGTATATCTAGAATAAGTGCTCACGGTAGCAATGCGATGGCACGTCGCACCTCACGCCTGGGTAGATATTTGCAGCCCACGTGCCTCCCTGTCCAATATTAATTTCTTAATACACTGCTGTGGAGAGAAGAGAATCGAGCCTTACCACTATTTCAAGCTTCTCGAAAACGCTGACTGACAGATTCCGGACTTTGCGCGACAGAATGATAGCTGTAATAATCCCGGCAAGGCCGGCGCCCACGATGATGACCTTCGCGGATTAGTTTCACAGTCAAATTGGTAGAGTACAAGTTGCTTACTTTCACCGGCGGGTGAGGATCAAGAGGTTCTGGCCCTGGCAAGGACTCTGACGACCCATTATCTCCCTTGGAAAGGCCTGTAGGATCACTAATACCGCTCATGTTCACAAATGACAGTACGACCCCAAACAATCGTTCTGGCAAGTTATTGGGATGGTACTACCTAAAAGGCTTTGATATAGGTTAATCCCTTAAACTTGCGACAAGATGGAGAATATCCTCAATTTATATGTCTAGTGGGAAAATACTCTACGTAATTTTCCGAAAAGGAAACTGTAGCATGGCTATCGAATGCAGATGTGGTTCGATCCGCAGTTTAGTCTAGTGGTCTTGTTTCCAATTATTCCACTTAACTCTTTCTACAACATAGGGATGGAATCTATTCTGGGAGTTGGTATGGGCTAGCACTATCTTGACGCTTCAAATCGGGTACTCTGAATTGCGAATCGCAAACTGCAAATCGCGACACGCGCCAAGGGGCTCCACACAAACGAGATAGATATAGCACGAATTAGGAAGTATTGTCGGACGTGAGGCCCGCTGCCCCCACGTGGATCGGGGTCTACAAAGTGAGTCTAGCCATAGTCAGAGATTGTCCCTCGGGATTGCGTCTTTTTGTTATGAATGGCGTCGAATGCCTATACAGGGCAGCTGTGTTCGCGCTAATAAACCACTTAGCGGAAAGCTTGGCTTTCTGTATCGTATTTTCGCAATCAAATGATATTGCTTCGCAATCGAATACTGATAGTAGGTTCCTTTAAATGTGTTCGGAACGTAGATTTTTAACAGAGTATGTATAAGGGCAGGGAACCGCACCATGCCAAAAAAAAATCATAAAACCTCTCCTTGTTGATTGTTCCAATTTCATTGATTCAGAATTAAAACCATTCTATTGTACAAACATCCTTGCTATAGCCCTCCCACAAGTCAAAAGAACGGACGAGCTTGAAGTTGCCGACGGCTGAGTACAAGACACCATGGCTAGCGCAGCAACAAAACACACTCAACACCCAGGAGTGCAGCGCTCTAGAAAACAGCGATTTGTCAACAAGATTTGGGATTCCCTTGATAAGTCTCCTGAGGATAGGAAGCTCATCGCCAAGATTGACTGGTTCATCTTGAGCTACGTCTGTGTGGCATATTTTGTCAAGTACTTGGATCAGACAAACGTACGTGATTTTTAGTTCAAAGTATATACTATCTCAGCTAATAATTGTCATTTCAGGTTTCCAATGCATACATATCGGGCATGAAACAGGATTTGGACATGGCAGGAAACGACCTGAATTACCTCACCACGTACTGGACCATCGGTTATATTCTTGGACAAATTCCATCTCAAATCATCCTGACGAAGGTTCAACCATCGATCTGGCTGCCATCATTGGAGCTGATATGGAGCATTCTGGTGATGGCGATGGCGGCAACGAAGGATCTCAAAACGATCTACATCCTCCGATTTTTCGTGGGCTTGCTCGAGGCGTCAGCCTACCCAGGTATCATGACTCTTTTGGGTAACTGGTATCAGCCATCGGAGTTGGCCAAACGTGCTTGCATCTTCCAGGCCTCGTCTAGCGTGGCCCAGATGTTCGGTGGGTACTTGCAAGCAGCTCTATACGCCAATATGAACGGTGCCCATGGCCTTGCCGCCTGGAGGTGGCTCTTCATTTTCGACGGAGTCATAGGCATCCCTATCGCCCTCTATGGTTACTTTGCGATACCTGACAGCCCGACCACTACTAAAGCGAGATGGTTGACGTCGGCGGAGAAACAGCGCGCTATCCAGCGCATGGAATCGGTTGGCCGTAAGCCTGCCAAAAGCCTCACTCTCAGGAACATCATCAACCTGTTCCGGGAATGGCCTGTGTACCTTTTCACGTTATCTTTCACATGCTACATCCAGGCAACTCGCGTCTACGCCTACTTCAATGTGTGGTTGAAGGAAACGGGAAATTATACCGTGGAGCAGGCCAATGTCATCCCCACCGCTGGCTATGGCACGTTGGTTTTTTTCACGCTGTTTTTTGCCTGGACCAGCGACGGCCTCAACAATCGATGGCTGGTCATAGTATTCGGCGCCACATTATCTCTGATAGGTGCCATAATACTATCCGTTTCAGTGCGACCGGATGGCAACACTGCCGCTATCATAGCAGGCTTTATCTTGACCTATCTGGTGACAGGCACCGCAGGAATCTATATGACCTACATCACGGAGGTCTGCAATTACAGCTACGAGCACCGCGCTCTGATAATTGCTCTGGCAGACACGGCGGGCTACGTATTTGTCGCCTGGCTGCCACTTTTTACGTTCAATACAGGTGAAGCACCGTGGTTCAAGATTGGCTACAAGATGACCGCCATCTTCCTTGGCCTTCAGATTTTTTTCATTCTTCTAGTGCCAATTGCACGGAATCGGTGGCCTGTAGGAAAATACCAGCACAATCCCGGGAATATGCGTGAGCATGATACCGAGGCACAGCCTGCTGTGTGATTGGCCATGCACTACAGAAGCCGGAATGCCCCATTCTCGTCGTTTGGTTCTACAGATGAACCAGAGAAAGGTTCTGGGACTATTATATTTGTTGAGATCGGTGTCTGGGGTGTCAGGACAGCAGCTCAGGATAGTTAGTTTTGTGTAGGATAATTAAAACCAACTCTCTAATCACGACTATACCACTAATTCACGCTCGAAGCACTAGAGATTTAGTAGAGTGAGAGGGTAAGATTTTATTAGCTATCTAGGCTATGCTATTGAAATCCTTCAATCTATAATTCTCTTCCTTCTTCCTTCTCTCTCCGGCCCTTTTGCCTTCCACGCTCAACAATATTAGAGACATAGACTTAAATTTATCCTGACTAGATATTCGGTAATTTATTGTACAATGCAGAGATGGTGCTTTCATACAAATTACCTAGAGAGGCCTTTGATGTTACAACAATCTGTATGCATGGCAGGAAGACAATTTTATTTAGCAATTCTGATCTCGTTTAATGCTAATGAAAAAGCCCTTGTGATTTTTTGAGATGGTATACAGCCTCAAGGTCATATACATGAAATAATTTGAACTATCCAATAACCTTTTCCATATACGTTAACCAATTCTCGCCGAGCACTTTCCTGATCTTCTGCTCGCTCCATCCTGCTCTTGCCATTGCAGGAGCTAACTCAGGTCGTTCTTCCAGCGACCCGAGTGGCTTCACGACTTTAGCACTGGTTCCCCAAGGTGTCGAACGTCTCGCATATCCCTTATCCCGGTTCGCCCAGTCCATGAATGGACTAGGTCGCGCATAGCCATCAGCATTATCAGCGCCAATGCCCACGTGGCCTTCACCACATACGGCTATGGCATAGTCCAGGCAGGCAACATAATCGTCAATAGTGCTATCGTTGCCATTAGGCAGATGCGGACCGAAGCAGTTAACGCCAATGTAGCCGCCTTTCTGAGCACATAGTTTGAGCAGCGCATCTGGCTTGTTCCGTGGGTGGTCAGAGAGACCCCTAGGGAAAGCATGAGAAAAGCACACGGGCTTTGACGAATAGTTGATGGCGTCCTCGCTTGTCTTCTCCCCAACATGACTCAGATCCACGATCATTCCAAGCTTTGCCATTTCGTCAATAACCTCACGACCGAAACCGGTCAAACCTGAGTCATTCAGCTCCGTGTAGCCAGCGCCCGAGTAGTTTTGCGTGTTGTACGTCAGCTGAAGTTTCCTGACGCCGAGATCACGAAACACCCGGAGATAGTCAAGCTGATCCTCAATACCAGCCGTATTCTGCCACGACAAGAGGACACCAGCTTTTCCCTCCTTCTTGGCACGCCGCACATCTTCGACTGTGTAAATCTGCGTGATGATGTTGCTGTACTCCTCGAACCATTTCTTCCACTGGATCACTTTTTTGATCGATTGTTCAAAGTTCTCCCAGATAGAGATTGTCCACGATGCGGCGGTGATACCGCTCTTGTGGAGTGCTTCAAAATTTGTCTCGCCAGGTTTCGCCACCAGAAGCGAGTCAAAATGGATACAGTCGTTGTAGATCTGACGTGCCTCGTCTTCGGTGACCATGGTTTCTGCGAAGTGAATGGAGCTTGAAAGCAACAGAAAGATCAGGGATATTTTCGAGAAGATGCGAGTTTAGACAAGTGCTATAATTGAAATTCATATCGTCTAATATATACCTACATATAATGTAGGTACAATGTAGGTTATAGAAATTGCGTCGGGTCCAAAAATTCCCAATCGGGAAAAAAAAAAGCACATAGTCCGACAGCTCCACCGTATCCATGAGCGACTAAGTGTGCCACCGGGGCACAGCTCTCTCATTGGATACTACCTGGACGCTTTTATCACCGCTCCCTCGAAGCATACATGTTAATTTTAATCTAGTTAACTATACTCCGTATACTAATTTCAACTTCTCTTTTATTTTTTTCTATATATTACACATTCAATATAGTAATTTTAAGAATAGTCAGCTGCTTATACGGCCTTATATTTTTTGATTGGTCTTTTGGATACTCTTTTTAGGTGTATACGAAGGCGGTAACAAAAACATATTCTGTGTAAGAGAACTCTATTAAATGTACAGAGTATAACCTTTGATAATAGAGGAAGAATCCACAGGCGAAGCTAAAATACTGTCTGGCAATATTAACTAATGAGAGAGTTGTGCCCCGGTGGCACACTTAATCGTCCGTTCGTATCGCAATTTGTGGTGAACCCTGACTTTTGACGAAATCGGGTCAAGAAATGACACCAGTTTAAGCTTCACACTTCCGTTACTAATAATTGGAAAATGAAGAAGAATTTCTGTCGGGCCCGTAAAGCGAAGAAATTCCCCTTTTCGATCTATCTAACGTGCAGCTCTGACATCCCTAGGCAGTACCTTAATGGAAGATGACTGGTGCATGGCATCGATTCCGAGTGGAAAAACCGCACCGCACGTCGCCCGCCCTAACTTATGAGGTCCCACCGCATCAGGCTAGCGTGTCTGTAGTTACAGCGACAAACGCCTGTTTACGGTGTAAACGAACCAAGAAGAAGTGCGACCGGTCGCTTCCAGAATGTCTCTTATGCCGAAAGGCCGGGGCTGGGTGTTCCTTTCCCACCGAAGCAGCCAGAACAACAGCTCAGTCTGCTCTACGCGCACGGGTCCAGTGGCTATCGGCCTTTGTAGACTCTCTCCTACCTCCTAATACGGCATCAATCTCCACGCTTGATACTGGTGCCGATCTATATGAGGCTACGGGGCTATCAGTTCACGCACAGACTGACAGCCGGATCCCGCTTGTGCCTCCCAACGAGGATGGCGTGGATTGCACCCGGGAGGAGCATACATTCAATAATACTCATACCGACCATCATACAATGACCAGCTCTTCTGTCGGAGATTTGTGCAGCCCCGTCTTATCGAACTCCCTGTCCTTGGCGCCAGCGCAGTCCCCAATTGCCAACAACTGCGCTAGGTTTCCTCCACTTGGAAATGTGTCACCTGGTATAGACGGACTACGTCTCATCCGGTCCTACTTTGACACTACACATCTGTCGTATCCGTTTTTGGATCCTGTTAAAGTCAGTAGCGAAGCCGAAAAGGGCGTTGGGTTCTTTTATTTTGGCGGAGGAGTCGATATTACCCCAGCATCTACACGCCTTTATCTGATCATGGTGATCGGATGTGAAAGATTGTGGCGTTCCGGAATGGTTTCCGACGAGGTCTTTAACAGATTTCAGGTGCCTCGCCAAGAGATTGTGCAAATGTGTTTAAGCAGTCCCTGCATCGAATCTGCTGAAAACTTGCTCCTTCTTACTATCTGCGCCCTCTTCGACCCACATCCTGATCCTCTCTGGATGCTTGCTGGAATACTAGGCCGGCTAGCTGTTTCATTGGGTCTGAACCGCAGGCAAGAAATTCCAGGAATGAGCCTTCTCGAGGTTGAATCTCGGCATCGTTTATTCTGGTCCATCTTCTCGATCGACAATCTTATATCAATCATATGCGGCTTACCTCTTGCAATTCAAGAGGTTGACTCTAACCTACCACTCCCGGGCGTCACTACAGAGGAGTTTGCTGCGCCAGGGCAGGCTGATCACATCACGACCTTGCAAGTTGCTCGGCAGGCAATTACACTTCGTCAGCTTGAAGGGAAATGTTTGCAGGCAGTCCATCTACGTAAGACACTGTTGCCTAGTTACCGAGAGAGACGAGCCACCATAACAGAGCTCCGTGCTGCAGCAGAGAACTGGTACACGCAGGGCTGTTTCCTCGCCCGCCGAGAGTTGCACGAGGTGCACTTCCACAACAGCGTTAGCTGGCTCAATGTGAACTATCATGGCATCCTCATTTTACTCTATTGTCCGTCGTTCTTTAATTCTCACCTCACCCCAAATGACCTAAATGATCTACGCCATGCAGTACGAAAGTATGTCCAGAGTGCTCATGTTCAGTTCCAGGACCGAGACCTAGCCTTGAACCATACAACCCTTAGCAAGATGCTGGTCATTTGCCGGATCTTGCTGCACTGTTACTTCCGATGCGAAGGGACGGCATCATTCCTAGACGAGCAGCAAGCCACCGTGCTGCAGTGTATTGGTATTCTTGAGGCCTTTCCCACCAGGTGGCTCATTGCCAAAAGGAGTTGCACTGTGTATAAACGCTTCTCGATCATTCTTCAACGACAACGCAGCCATTTTACAAATGAGCTTGCCGAAAATACACAATCCGCGGTCTTCGGGCCGTTTCCTTTTCCTGCCCACTCTAAGCTAGCTGCTATTGCCAGATGCCCTACAGATGATTCCGTGCAGAACATCGCCTCGGAACAGACCGAGACCAATATCCACGTTGTGTGTGATGACACAGAGTTGCTTCTGCAGGAGGTATTAGGTGTTTCAAGCATCTACAACTATTTTTCGGGGGAGCCGCGAACATGGCCGGAGCAATGACGCTTTACTAGAAATGTACCGTAACACACTGGTAAACTGGGAGTAGTCAGGTCTGGGTACTGCCTTTGGTTGCCTGGACATCAATTTCTAAAAGCTATTGAAACTTTCAAAATGAGGGAAGTACGCCCATTAGCTCACTCGTTCCAATATTCATGTGGTAGCTCCATGTCCACTTTGTTGCTTGGTCTCAAGTATGATGCCAGTTCTTCCATGCCACCTGACTGCTCGCGTGTTGTCCACCCGTTACCGAAGTAGAATTATCTGTTACTCCTCACTTCTACTGTTTTCTCATATGTAAAATCTTCCCACCTTGAATCTAAAGATGCTTGGATCCGGTGGTGCCCCTAACCTGGTCACCAGACAAGATTGTGCGATTGAGGGCCTCGATATTTCAGCCAGGAGCTACATGTGTCGTGGACTACCTTGTGGTTCGAGACCTTTGACCCAAACTGGGTCGTGCGGAAGTCTAATCTGGATGCGGTGGTGGACCTTGGGACGCATTGTGTGAAGTAGCGTACTATACCTTTTTTGGACATGTTACTGCAATTCACATTGTTCTCAATAAACAACCTTCTTCTACAGCTGTTCGTCTCGCTTCTCACTTTCGTGTCTCCTCTCTTCTTCAACCATCCACAGCCTATTTTACAGCTGTTTGTCTCGCCTTCTCACTTTCGTGTCTCTTCCCTCCTTCAACCATCCGCAGCCTTCTGTGATCTTCACCTTTTACACCCACGCTATGTCCACAGTTTCCGGTCTCCGGCGGGTTATTCGCCGCTTTCTTGCAAACCAGATTGACGCCCAAGACATGGCAAAAGCCCTGGAGCTTCCTAAGAAGCCTGAGCCCCTCCCGATTACCTCACTAAGTCTACCAGAAATACAGAAGATCCTTGGTCTCACTCTGGTTGTCGATGATGAGTTCGACTTTATTGCACCTATTCCCGTCCCGCAAGGTCTCAGTACGTTACCCTGATAAATCGTACAAAGAAATCTGCTAACCTCAGCTAGGACAATGGTTGGAAATAGCGGACCGCGCTCATGGTGCTAGCTGTGCAAACGAAGCCAGCATCCGCTGCAAACTTAACCTCCTCCTCCTCTGCGCCCATGATCTGGCATTGTCGTCTTCCAAAAAATCTACGAGACGCTTGAACATTCAGATGGAATGGATGTGGGCGTATAGCCCTGTGAAATTCGAAGGCAAGACACGGACGCTGTCGGGGCGTCCCGACTATGGCATATGGTACGGAGAGAAGGAAGACCTTGACTTGAACGCTGTCATCATAGAGGCCAAGAGACCGAATTGTGGTAGCGAAGGGGTTCCACAAGCACTCGCATATATGGGTAAGTACCTCACGATATCGTCGTTATAAAGTACCCCTAGGCTAACCTATCAAAAGGGTGCATACATAAGCAGCGCAAAGACGTTGGCAAGGAAGACACCACCGTCTACGGTATCTCCACTGATGCCATGAATTTCACGTTCATGAAGCTCGACAATGAGTCTCGAGTAAGTCTATCTAAATCATGTCAGTGATCCTAATTCTAATGCTTACTAGTGGTCGTTCAAACCAATTGGCATCGTTGGAAATGGGTTCGAGCAAGTGCTTGGTCTGCTGGTCTACATAATGAACAAAGCAGTGTCAATGTCCCCCGCCACCTCCAAACGCACGTCTCGCCGAGCCCAACAAGGGTCAGGGGAGTCTGACCTGAGCTTCGACTATGACCCTGAGATGGATGAAGTTGAATGATTTCGTCGCCGCATTCATCCTCTGTCTTTCTTCATTGCATCTTCTTCCTCTTCATTGCTGGTCGTTCTTTCCTCGTTGCCTTCATATCCGTCTTGTTACCCTTTCCTACTTTGCTATGTCCTCCACTCCTTGCTCTTCTTACTTTTAGATGATATCATCTACAGAGAACGGAACTCGTGTATCCCCTCAAAGATAATATCCAAGTAAAAATTAGTCTCACAAAAGTCGTTGAATTCCCGGACGGCCTCTTCGGATGAAGTTATACCAACTTAGTAGTATGTCCTGAGATCCACCTTGGTAGGATCCCCTGAGCTAGAAATTTTCTTTCTTTTAGTAAAATTGGTCTTTGGAGACCCTCTGCGAAGGAGGCCTGTCCCCCGGCAAAGCCGTTATCCGGTAGAGCTGCGACATCGCCCATGGAGGGCTGGTGGGCATGCCCATGGACGGGCCCTACCCTTAGGGCCTGACCTTGTGACTAGCATTATTTGTGCATTTTGGCTCCATATATATACATAGCAGCGGCACTGGCATATCGTAGGTTTAGAAGGCTTTATATTGTATATTAAGTTATTGTATAAAGCCCTCTGAGCCCTATTTTACACTAGTTGGCTTCTGCATCATGACATGGGTATTCTAGCAGTCAACTTCTTTGTCTATGTAGTTGTATTGGACTACAATGTTCTCTTTGTCGAAGATGGTCTATGTAATTGCTATTCTTGTCGCACTTGTTGTGCTCGTTGCTCTCAGTATCTTCGACTTCAACCTCTTTGTTTACTTCCTTAGCGTCCGTCTATTTAGGGACCGTGATCTCAGTTCCCATTATCCCATTATAATTATCTATCTTGTGTCGACTCTTGGTACACTATGTTCTTTTTTTGGCCCCTTTGTATGTACTTGAAAGCGATACTCACGGTCGAGTATGCGCCACCTATTTGACACTCGTCTATATAATCCTTGACCTCTCTCGGTGCTATACAGAGAAGTGCAAGTTCATCATTCATCACTCAATACATCACTCAACATTCAATACTTTATTTTTACGTATTACGATCAAATTCCAAACATTCACAGATATGCCTGGTTGTTGTCCCTGGAATTGTTTCAGTCTCTGCCGTCGCCGCCCCAGATCCCCCGGTTTTGGCCCTGACGGCAATGATCATATCGAACTACAATTCATAGCCCCCCTCCCCCTGCACCAGACGTACCCGTCCCCCCAGGTACTACCTTTTTCTTGTCCTCTCAGCCTGGCTCCGACCCATCCGTTAACCCAAACGATTATCAGTACGGTAAGCGCGAGATGTGGGGACACTTGCGACAGAGATGGATTGACAATGAAAACGAGCCCAACTGCACAGTACAGCTACCAGAATTTGAATTTAAAGACTTGACCCATGCTAAACACCGATCTCAAAGATGGAAAACAAATTTCAACCGCTGGATTGAAAGACCCCACGTTATCGAAGAGGACCTCGCGGATCGTGGGCTCCCTGTAGGTGAAGAAAATTACCACGATGTCAAGATCTCAAAGGACAGTGTCGTTGCACACCTTAAAAGAGGAATGGGAACTAACTTTTATCATATCACGACTGCAATTGGAGTTATTGTACTGAGAAATGCTTACAGACACGATGGACCTTGGTGGAGTCAAATCGCCCTTGCACAGTACGATATTCACTTCGCCGGGAATGCCTTGAGACATATCTACCTTGAAAATGTTGTCAACGACGATACTACCGACTGTGTGCGAACAATATGGGCCGACACCCAACCCCCTAACTCCCAGATATTTGACATAGCTCCAGCAGCAGTAAATCAGATGTCCTGGGATTTCGATACTCCCGGATATAAGGCCATTCTGGGTACAGAGCTTGGGAAAGGAGCAGCTGCTATTGTTTTGTCGGCATACCCCAGAGGTACACATCGTGTCACCAGAATCGTGGTCTGGAGGCTTGGTGTCTTGCAGATACGACTTGATATTGAAAACAAATCTTACATCAATGTAGGCAGTGGAGGCTTATAGGAACCTTGTGCATACAAATCGATTCTGTTGGCTGTGTGCGATTAATGCAGCTATTTCCCTTTCTGCCCCTTGTTTTCTCTTCGTTGGTTCATATTTATTTGATAGAGTGCTTTTAAATACCATATATTATTTTTCTTTTTCAACCGAACTATTTCTCGATAAATCTAGATGGTGTAAATATTTGCATATTTCATGTCCACTTTCTGTTTAGAATGTTAGATTCAACGTAGAGACACCCGTGGAAACTAGTGAACGGGCTTCCAAGGTTGAACAAGCAAAAATTATGAAATCATAAAGAGGGGCTCCAGGGTTTCTCTATCAAGTGAAGCCCCTCGTATTTTCCATGTACATCTGGATCACGTCTCTGGCCTGGGTGGTCTTTTCACCCCTCTCCTCTCGTGATGATAAACTAAACATACTAGAGTTGGTTTTAGACCTATCGAAATGTTTTGATTACCTTCGTTGGATGTATGTTGGATGCAAGAAAATCAAGTTCTAGATGTTCGAAAGTCCCCACACTTTTATGCGGGGGGAGCCTATATCGACGTAAGAGTCTAAAACAGTCCATGTCAGTGTATATTTGAAACTGCAAAGTTTTAGATTTTAGGAATAGAATAGTGATATTATCCTCTAAACGTACAATATACAATATACTTACTACATATATATATATCCATGGATGTATGTACCATAGCTATGTTATACATGTGATATGTTTGTCAAACACAAGACCCACCAACCCGATGATGTCATGAAGCATCAGGAGCTGGCAGAGCAGAACCAAATGGAAAATGAGTGCTCTCTTTCTCTCTCTCTCTTTTAAATAACCCCCGGAAGAGAATTCCAACTTGATTTCAAATACCTCTCCTCCACATCTCCCAAATTTACATCTGCCAAAGTCATCACTCTATCCTATCATTCTATCATTCTATCTAAACTCACCTCAACCTACATCATAACCATCATTATGTCATTCCTCACATCCATCCGTGCCTCCTCCCGTCAAGCTATCCGAACCAACTTTGCCGTCCCAGCTTCCACATTCCACTTCTCAGCAGTCCGAAGCTTGAAAGAGGATGATAGTGGTCAGTACATCATCAACCCTTCCCACCAAGCCATACCAACTAACCATGACCAGGCCGTGAGAACCTCTCCTACCACTATGAATCCCACAAGCAAGAAGGCATCAAGAGCACCAAGGAGGGCAAGGGAGAGTGGAAGGCTGAGCTAGCTAGTAACAGCGAGGCAGATGTAAGCATTTGACCCCTGGGATCCATCTTCTATCAGAGCTAATATATTTTTGGATTTAGGTCAAAGCGGATCGCGGCGAGCTAGACGGCGATGTCTCTTTCCAAGAGATGCAGGAGAAGACAAAACGTCTTGCGAACCAGAAGGCTAATAAGCAATAAGTGAAAGCTATCAGCCTTTTGTAACTTTTCGATCACGATCTGGGTTTATTCCTCATGTGTATTTTATTGGGCCAGTCTGTGAGTGAGGCTGTTAGGGAGTCTGTTATGGTGATTTATTCAAGTTGTATCGCATTAATTCAATGATAATTGATACTACACTTTATCTGAGCACATAATTGGATATGAAAAAGAAGGTTATGATCAAGGCTAGGCTTGTAGATGTAGTATGATCAAAAAATCCAACCAGGAGTCTAGGAGCGACTCAATTGCCTCAACGCCTCGAGTCACTGTTGAAAACATCAGGAGAATCAATCATCCCGTACTGTATAAGGTTGTAAACGCCCGCTTGCCAAAAAAAAAAAAAAAAAAAAAGTAAAAGGTAATAGCGATAAAACAAGAGCCTCCAATCATCCACCCATCGGGGGTATCATTTCAGGATCACGATTAAGATGACCAGAATAATGATCAATCCAATGATAGTCATCATGCTCCAGTTCTCACCCGCCTTTCGGCGGATCCTATCTATCCGTCGTCTCGCACTGTCTAGTCGGGTCTGATGACGCTCGACATCCCCATCCATCCCATCTAGAAGTTGAACGTGGCCATCCAGCTCATCCCCAATCTGAATACTCAGTTGGTGTTGTCTTCCAATTGATTCACCAAGCCGATCCAGCTGATCATCCTGGTCGCGCATAGTTTGAGCGTGGTGGTCATAGATCTGCTGGTTGTCCATGTTTGACTGATCCGGTCGCGGCGATGGCTCATCACGGTATGGGCGGAAGAGGTTGCTGCGGTTGCGCTCTTCTTCCTCGTCTATTTCATCTTGCACGGCTGCCGCTGCGGCGGAGCTGTCCATAAAGCGGACGGATTTGGAAGGTGGATGTTGTGGGATTGGCTGCTTGAGATCGGGGGTGGCGGATTTCGACGCCTGCGTCGTGTTGTTGGCTGATGGCTCGCCATCTGCGCCGTAGAACTGGGTCGACAGATCTTTGTATTGGGCTTGGAGGGGGGTGAGTTGGTCTTTCAGGGCGGCGGCGCCTGCGCTGTCGTGCGAGTTGGCTAGCCGGGTTTGCTCGGCTTCCAGGGCCTCTATGCTCTCTCGGAGAGACTCGAGGGACCAAGAGATCTCTCCATCTTTGGAATTAGGTTCGAGATCGAGTGAGATTGCCCTTTCGCGCTCTAAAAGGGATAATTTGATGTGATCGGCGAGTAGGAATAGCTGCGAAGGGTTCGTCATGATGAGATGCGTGAGATCAAAATGCCAGGCTGTTGAGATGTATAAATCAGAGGCGTTTGGACGGTCAGTACGGAGTAAGACCTCCGATCAGCCAAGCAGGATAAAGTCAGACTGTTTGGGACGTTTATGAGGTTGAAGGTGGAGATGGTAAGACGAGAAGCACAAGCGGAGGCAACAGTGCGGATCAACCGCTTTCCGCCTTTTGCCTCCCCTTGATCCCCCGCAGTCATCCCGCCTTCTCTTCAGCTCGGAAATACTAACATGCCTATTTCTTGCAAGCATTTGCTTCCGATCGCTCAACTGGTTGTTTTCTGAGTGTTATCCTCATGGATCTGAACTATTCGGTCCACCTCGGTATCTAGCGCAAAGAGCTGCATGAACCCGCGCACTGATTCCGCATTCCAAGGAAGCAACAACATAGGGAATAAAAGTCCGTTGGTACCTTGCATATTTTTGTTGTCGCCTCGTGATAGGCTCGAAGTCCGCACAACATGAATCTACAAGACTTTCTAGCTATGGAGGAAAGCCGCGACCGCGACGAGCTAATCGACCTCCGCAGCCTTGATCTCGTCTCCGAATACGACTCGCACCTTATGTGCCCGATCTGTCACTGTCCCTTCGTTGAACCCGTTCGTCTACAATGCGACCATGTCTTCTGTGGGAGTTGCCTCAGTTCGGCCATCACCAGCTTCCGCTCGGCCGACTCGGACGAGTTTCCGTGTCCCTCTTGCCGAAATCCGACCCAGGAGGTGTCGGCTAGTGTGCCCCGCCTGCTGATCAACATGTGCGACGAGATCCGAGTGAGGTGTCCGTTGATAACGGAGGGCTGTCAAGAGATTATACCCCGGGGCCATGTCCAGTCGCATGTCGAGAAGTACTGCGGGTACCGGCTATTACCGTGCCCGGATGAATCGTGCGATCAGATGACGCGAAGCAAGGACGTTGGGATGGATCAGAAGTGTATTCATAGAGTGCGAAGGTGCTATTATTGCGAAGAAGATGTTCTAGAGCATGAATACGAGGTTCGTTACCCTTTCGAACTTATTAGAAATTCTATAGACGCTGACCAGCAACGCCTATGGTAGGAGCATGAGAAAGAACTTTGTCCAGTTCTTGAGGTCACATGTGTCGACTGCGAAACAGTTGTTACCAGAGGAGCACTGAGAGAGCACGTTGAATCATGCCCGGAGGTTGCAGTTCCCTGTACAGCATCCAAGTACGCATGTCCGGTTAAGATCCGACGAGCAGACATTGCAGCACATGAACAAAGCTGCCCAATAGTTGCAATGGGCCCGTACTTTGAGATGCAGAATACCCGGCTCAATTCCCTCGAATCAAGTATGCGACATCTGCAGCAACGCAATGAGATATTCGAGGACGGGCTAGCAAATATTCGGTCCACTCTTGTTGAATCCACACGCTTGGGCGCAAACAGTCATAGTGGCGGCCAATCTACCCAATCCGACCGAGAACAGCAATCCTCCGCTCGGGTCGATGTCCATTCAGATGATCCTGCGGACATTGCTGCGAGTGTATTTTCTTCCAATGCCACGACCTATCTGCTTTCACTGCACGAATCTCTTCGGGAAGAGGTCAGCCAGCTCTCACATGCTATCACAGACCTGGATGCTCGTGCCAGCATGGCTATCATGAATGAATGCCTGCGCATCAAGGAAGACATGGCCCACACGAATGCAGCAGTCAACAGTGTCCGCATGCAGGTCCAATGGCTCATGAACCCTCGCCTTCACCAGGGGACGCAAAGAGGAGCTATTCGCACCAACACTGCCGACAGTGAAGGAGCGCGGACACAGATAGGATCACCAGTGGCTGGGCCGAGCCAAGCTGCTGGTCAGTCCCTGGGACCTCTTCGGCCTAGGCGTCCCAGTGATAGTGGACGCGAGGGGACGAAGCTGTGAAATTGCGGTTAGGGATAATTTGAGGCACTGCATTTTCCTATTTGATGCAACGGGGTCTCAGCTTTCATGTGTATCGTGTAGCTTATGATATTGATGATTGAGTTGTCTTGGTGTAGGCCGTGTTGTATATAGTTGATAGAGATAAACGGCTCTAATTGCACCAATGACCCATATACTTTTTTTTCTAATATGCGAGATTCAAAAAAAAAAAAAAAAAAAAAAAAAACCCCTAGTTGTCAGATCCAAAGATATATATCTCCTTCTCACCAAATAGATACCAGCAGTCAAAACCCCTTAAAAGAAATGCTGTAAGGCGACTTACCACTGATGGACCATGGCAGACACCTTATCTACACTTTATTCATTAACGGGCATACCTGGGTAGCAAAGCTTTTTTTTTTTAAAAAAAAACACTCAACTGAACCATCTATATTTCTTTCATCATTCGACAACACCAAAAAACAAAAAAAAAAAGAAATCTCAGGTTTGGTTTTAGGAATAGCCGAACGCGGGGGTCGAACCCGCAGCCTTAAGATTAAGAGTCTTACGCTCTACCGATTGAGCTAGCCCGGCCGGGCTGTTGAAGAGAGGAGTGAACTATTGTACCATAAAGCGGATGACTTGATGTGATACTTCCCCAGGCGTTGGGGTCAAGGTCAAGGTAAGTTGTGGTTCAAAGCATCTAGCAGTGGTTATCGTAAGAAGGTAAACTAGAAATATTTTTCTGTCTTCTGCCTTCTCAACCTCCGGTATTGAGCCAGTGCTTGGTCGCTTGTTGACTGGGAAGTTGCCTGTTCAGGGGTAAAGGGTTGCAGTTGTACGGAGTAGATGAAGAAGAGAATAAGGAGAGTAAAATGAGGAAAGGAGAAAAGATAAAGGCGAAGAGAGGGGAAAGGAGAATGGAAGTATGCAAGGAGAAGAGGGGAAAGCAGATGTATACTTCGACGATGGGGATTGGTGGAAAATCCGATCGGATAAAAAGGAAACATCTGAACCCTTGAGGTATACAAAGCCATGCAGTCAAGTCAATACAACACTTCATATCAACCTATACATAATTAAATATATGATGGTACCACATAATACGCAGTTTCAATGCAGATCAATTAAATTGGCCAAATACCTAGCGGAACTCAATGTGTCAGTGCCTAGGAGTGAGGTATATGCTCCTACACAAGATGATTTCTACGTCAATCCAAAGACCAAGCCCGAGTCACGAAGTGTACTAGCATTGTTATATATACAAAAGTACCACCTCCAAGAGGAAAATGACCCAAAATATCGAGCAATCCTATCATGTGCCCTCCACCCTAGGCCGCGAATGCCGCGCCAGCGAGACTAATCTCTCAACAAAAGCCTGGGCCAGATAAAACGGCGGGTAAGTCTGCCCGTCCTCTGTCGCTTTGTCGAGCTGAGCTAAGAGCTTAGCGATATCCTCCAGAGTAGCAAGATCTCTTGTGAAAGTAGATGAAGTTGGAACTGTGATGAGATACCAGAAGACCGAGAAGACGGCCGTGAGGAGAAACTGCGCATGGAGCCTAGAATACGAAAGAGACTCCAATTAGTATACATAAGTAGGACAAGGTTCAGAGTTCCTTACCAGAACGTGTTCTGGTTGACGAATTGCCGGATTCGCCAAAAATAGATCAGCGAACACCTTGCAGCTTCAAAGCATAGCTCTGCGCTAGATGGGAGAGGCGACCAGCTCTGAGGGGAGACTATCTTGCAAGAGTTACTCGCTCCGTGGATCTTTCCAAGGCAGTAGTAATATTCCAAATGGATATTCACACCGCGGATACTGAGATCATGGAACAGATAGTCCGGTGCGCTCTCGGTGGCGAACACCTCCGGCCGGCAGTCGGCGGGATACCCCAGCTTCAAGTCGCTGAGTTCTTGGTCTAGTTCACGGATATGCTGAAGGCGTCTAGCTTCGGGCAGGGCCTGACTGTCCACTGAATAAAGTAACCGGAAGATCTTGGACTTGAGCACAGAAAAGCGGAGGTCCGAGGGGGAAAAGAAGCTCCTTGGACGACAAGGGCTTCATGTAAAAGTGACGTTCGGATGTTTCCTTGGCGTACGTCGTAGGTAGATCTAAATCACAATCGGCGTCGTTTATCAAGGGTGGCTGGGATTTTCGGATGGAGAATTCTTTGTCGACGGCGTAACAATGCCAGAACAAAGCTCGGAGATGCTGACTACGTTGATCTGTCCTGTGTATCTCATTGGGGGTTTGTATTCTGTTTGCCCCGAGATTATAGATGAGTTGCACCGCGATGCCAAGAAGTAATTCGGCTGCCTGGGGTCTACCAAGAGGGGCGATATAGAGCATCTATGGCCATATATAAGCTTCTGAGACACGGGAGGCATGGGATCCACCTTGGGGAGGGGTCCACGGGTGGACTGGATATAAAGAACTTACTAATATTGTCACCGCTTCCAAAGTTCTTATATCAGGGGGCTCTAATAACATTTCAGGAAGTAGTGTTAGTGCTGCTTGCAAATAAGCATCAGGATCAGCGCCGGCGAAAGCTCGCTCATGGCGGTGGATATGGGTGATCATTGCCGCAAAAGCAACCAGACAAGCCCGGTTCGCCGCACGAGTCATGCCTGGGGGCTGATCTAAAGCATTCGCATTGAGTAGAATCTGCACGGCCTCAACATCGACAATTGGAAATATAGAATAGAGACCATTTCTCTCAAAATATTCTAAACACCGTTGGACTAGAGCGGACTCTGGCCATTTGATCCCAATCACTTTCTTTGTCGACTTGAGCTGTTGTGAGCTAAAAGATTGGGTGACCTCATGACCAAATTCCTCCATATTGAATGTACAACCTGTTTGCTCTTGAACGAGGGAGTAAAAAGCTGCTCTTTGCGTCGAAAGGGCACTCCCGAGCCCACAATATGAGATATGCCATTGGAAAGCTGCCAACGCGGTATCGAAATCCCGAGTATCAGGCAAATAAGATAAAAATGTTTGAGAGAGGGGCCTGGGCGATGCCGGAGAAGAGCTTCTGCTCGGAGAAGGGATAGCTAGCCTTTTGTGGCTTTGTTTTGTGGATTCTTTAAGTCCGAGCAGGGTCGCCTCTAATTCCCGAACCCGAGCTTTGGCGTCGGCAAGCTCTCTGTGTACCCCGTAAGCGCTTGAAGAGGGGCCAATGATATAGTAGTCTTACTGTCGGGTACTTTTCCGATGTTGGGATACAGGTTGGGAGAAAGTACATGGTAGCCCTGCAAGATGACAATTCTCACAGGCTGGTTGGCTTTTATCACAGCGGATCTGTCGGCAAAATCAGATTAGGGGCTGTCACCACAGGCAATGTGGATATTACCTTTCGGTGTCGACATAGATCGCAAGCGCTCCGCCCTTTTGCGCCTCGTGGGCCAGTAGTCTCATCCATAAAGTAATATCGTAATACTCCTTATTCCGTACAGGTGTCGACAAGCCTTACCGGTAGAGCCTCGGGGGCAACCGCTGAATCATCAAGCCTTTTCATCAGACAGCCTATCGAGACGCTGCGCTGAAGAATCCACCTGCTTCCAACCACTGACATTGACGGAATTGATGGCCAGTGGCTGGAAGTGGGTAAGATGAGTCAGCGGGCATTTTGCCGTTGAAACTCCGGTGGACTTGACCTTCAACAAGAGATCTTCTCCTTCAATAATATTAATGTACGGAATAGAGCTGCGGTGTTGAGCTTCCTTGGGATACCCCTTTTGACCTGTTCGCTTTGCGTTTTTAGCTTTTGTGGATAACCCAAATCCCTCGAGCTGTTACTAGATTTTACACCGGCTAACTATGTTGATGTCTCAGATCGGAATAAGAACAAATTGAAATGGATTTAAAAGCAAGCAGGCAGAAAATAAATAATAATTAGGCCAAATTACACCAACCAAAAAAAAAAAAAAAAAAAAACAGGAACAATAGTGTGCCCACACATCTACACATTTCGCCCAGCCTCAGCATACTCCCGTCTCTCTTTACTCCGTACATACTGACAACCCCCCAATCAAGTAGACGGAGCCACATCGAGACTGAAAATACCATCCCACTTGCACTGTGCCTTGGGATACTCCTGCTTCTCACATTTCCACAAGTCGCCACTTACAACTGACCGCCCACTCTCAGTTCCGTCTGCGCGGGAGACTCCCAAATCGATTTTTTCGATATCGTAGATTCCATTTGGAAGGTGGAGCTGGTACGCCTTGTCGGAGCAGTCATAGGTCTTGTTTCCAGCCATTCCAATTGACCTGTATAAAGGTCAGTATCATCTATGCCTTTTGGTTCTGGGCTTATATGGCATCCTAAACACAGAGAAGGTTGGAAGATAGATTAGAACATACCAGTAAGCAGAGCATTTGGTATCTGTGTTTGTATTTGGGTCTTTGAGAGCAAAAGAGAGGAAGCAGGTTGTTGGTGGGGTCGTGCTGTAGATGGCTGCGTTGAGATTTGTAAGTTGCAGTGGCTCTAGGACGGGCACTACAGGACTGGGTGCAGCGAGGATGGAGGTGGCAGTCGCCAGGACGAGAGAGGAAATCGACATGGTCTTCATTTTGCTGTAGTAAAGGTTGTTTCTTTGTTCCTTTGGGATTGTTGCTGTTGGATTCTTTGCTGTTGTTAGAGGGTATACGGATGGTGTTGACGACCCTTTTATACCGTTGTACATATACTTAAAAATATACTTGCTAAAAGGCTTTACTGAGACATGAATACGAGAAACGGACACGTAAAGCAAGATCATGACTAAATGACGTAGAGTTACATTGTAGTTATTTGTAACCTTGGAACCCAGTTTGGGGAAAATCTATGTATTTGGACCCCCAGATTATCGAATGATAAGTTCCAAGGTTATTGTCGTTGAAACAAAGTCTTACGCCTCAAATGCGCGATACGAGCCACAAAACCAGGCCTTCCACTCACTCTTTCCCCGCTAAACCTACTCGCCATTTATTGGCTCCTATTTTTGCGATTAGGCGACCAGTCTACACAGCCCTGTATTATTTTTGGGTGTTAGAAAAAACGTCCATGGATAGATTGTCTGGATAAAGTTTTGTGGCAATGAGGTAGTTGGGCCTCAAAAGATATTTGCTCTTCATACTACAGCTTCAACACAAAGTTAGCCTGTGCTTGGGCTACTCCCCTAACAGCCCTCTGCGCCCAAATTTAGCAACTGCGCTTCTTTATACACGCATAAATCTACAATGTTCTAAACCGAGGAAACTTTCATCTAAATTGTTGAAAAGAGGTTTAATCGGTCGGGGTTACAGCCATCCGATACATTGAGAATGGACAAAAACCAACTGTATTGATAAAGGAGATATGTATTCGAAGTAAGCGTTAAGGCTACCAATCTCATCTAATAAGAACTGTTAGTACCTGATGGGCTTCATATAAGGTTCAAACCCCTTAAGGAGGGAAATTGCTACGCGTCATCACTAGGGCGCCCAACAAGGAGAAATACGAGAAGTATCACGGTGAAGAGGAGTTGGCGTGGCATAGCGCGCAGGGGAGCCCTGCTAAGTCCAGCGCCAAAATTTCCGACGAGAGAACATACTCATAGGGGGCGGACCGGGGGGGACCCCGGTGCTTCCGGCCACCTCCTCTTCATCGAGAGTTACAATGAACACTTCTGTTGAGGAACGGTCTATGTTAGACGCATGTCGTAAGAGCTCCAGAAAACCCGCGCCAAGGCGAGGGCCACCAGGTGTGGACTTGATGGTCAGGTAGCGGGGGGCCATAGACTTATCGATGTAGGTGAAGATAGCCTGCACCATAGGCGGGAGTGGGATATCTAGCTGGAAACGGTCAACGCCCTGGGTCTGTTGCACAGTCGTCTGAGTCTGAACCCACTGGGAGCGGTGCTGGCTGTTAAACTTGCGTGTCCAATCTTGGTCGAGACCGGACTCTGCAAGGCGGGCGCATAGGGTCCAGATAAGGTAATTCCCATTGATCAACTCGTCAACTACAATCAGTGGCCAGGTATTGATGCCTGCTCGGGCGATATGGCAATGTAGGGCAGTGGCCTCGAGTGGTCCGCTGCAGAGTGCTGCACCCTCTGCCCACCTAAAAAACTCTTTAGGTGACATGATGGTATATGGACTGCAGGACTCGCGCAATTGAATGTAGTTGGGTATTGGGTTGAGTGTGGATGTTTGGATCTGGAGCAGTGTAGAACAGAACAATGTCGGTGAATTCCTGTTCTTGACGGGAAGAGTGAAGGTTTATATAGTGCCTGGGTCTAGGTAGGGCTCATCACTGGACTCGAGATATTAGGCGTTTGTTAGACATGGAAGAAATCAAAGCCATTGAAAGAACTCTACATGTAAATTTATAGAAAGGAAATGAATGGTATTGTCATTGTTAACTGACTTTGCCCTTTGTTCGACGAGGGCCAAAATGCCCAACAAAGCCTTGCGAAAAATGTAAGAATTCTCCCTTGATGACTACCTACGTAGTCAGAGAGAGAGAGGCAGACATATCTAGCGGGCGATTTGGGTCGTCGTCTGTAGACACAGATATATTTAGATGTTTAATGACGTGGCCACTACAATGCATTCGTCTCGTTAAAATATAGATTGGAAGACCCTTATATACACATACCATATGACCCATGCCTACTCACCTAGGATAAAACCACACTGGTCCTATTTCGATAGGTGATATAACTAGGAAGGGTTATATATGATAGGATTAGCGTGTCACATATTGTTGAAACGAGCAAAGCCATTACGGAATAGATATCAGACCATGATGAGACAGAATCCGAGGGCAGGAAAGAAAGTAAACAGAGATCTTGATTAGAGAGAAACCTAATAACCGAGCCGCCTGCCCAAATGGATAATGACCCGAGCCCTAAGACTAAGAGATACCCTGAAGAATCTCAAGAGCCTCATATCAATCTAAAGAAACCTCAAGTTGACTGAACATAACGGGTTTCACACGAGCTTTTATAAAAGGAAGTACGACCTCCAAGTTCCCTGAACCTCCCACATTTGTCGTCTTTCCGAACTCCACCTTATAAATCGACACAAAGAACCATCCGATTTCATTAGAATACAATCATAACATCTCAATTCCATCTCATATGCACTTCATCTCCACAAATTCAACCCAATCGTCTATCTTCGTCTCACTGCCCAATACTTAGAAGCCCGGATGACCGTGTCCATACCCGTGACTATGTTCATGTCCATAGCCCTGTCCAGATCCACCATGCGAACCCGGATGGGAACCATGTGGCGGACCATGGTGGGGACCGTGCGGGTGCGAGCCTCCATAATGCTGTTCATGATGTTGATTATGCTGGTAGCCGTGACCTTGTTGAGGCTCGTGCCTACCACCTACCTCGTGGCTCTGGTATGAGCTGTGCTGGTGCTGTTGATATCCTTGGTCATTTGCATCTCGTGACAAGCCGCCAGGGATGAAGTTGGAGATTTTGCTTTCGAGTTTGCCCAGGTTAGACAAGCCGGGAATACTGGATAGCTTGTCCCAGGGCATGCCAGAGGAGCTGCTGCTGGAGTGTTGTTGGTGGGTATGATGCTGAGTTTGTTGGGAGAGGAATGAAGACAATCCACCAGATGAATGCCCGCCATTGTTACTGTGTCCGTGGCTTTGGCTTTGGCTGTGACTTTGCTTTTGGCTGTGCGAGGCACCACCCAATGCCGCGAATCCACCATGACCACCGCTGTGAGTGTGGCTCACTCCACCAGTGTTACGACCGGTTCTCACGCCCTCCGAGCTGAGGATGGAGTCAAGGGAAGCACCGCGGTCTGAGCGGGCATGCGCCCATTTCTCGACGGCCTCGAACATTGCACGATGGGCATCATTGCGCATGTTGCGCAATGCTGGGTGGTGGAAGACGTGCATGCAGTCATTGAGGACTTCGTCTTCGGGGACATCGGGGTGTTGCCAAGCGTACAGAACGCGAGGCGCGATGTACTCCACGATTGCGGAGGCGACCCGTCCGGCGGGCTCATTCAGAATGTTGGCAAAGTGGTCCTTGGAGAGCAACGAGTGGGTGGGGTCTGTGCAGTGAGGATCAGTCCATGGTTCGTACTGGTGCTTGCCAGAGGCATCAATAACACCTGCTGATCCGGCTTGCATGGACTTGGAAGCAGCTTTGATCAAAGGTCGAACGAAAGGCGCTAGGAGTGACATGATGACAACGGTTAAAGTCTCGGAGATCTTCTCGACGAGTGACTCCAAGCCTGGGATCTTTTCAATGATCGAGTTCAAGCTTCGCATCACCTTATCTCTGAAGGCCAGGATGGGATAGATCTTGGCTACTGTCTCCTGGGGGTTGAAATCAGGCATGCCATCGAGCCCAGAATTAGGCTTCGAACCACCGCCAGAAGACTGAGTTGGCCCGGCACGGGACCGCTCGTGGCTGTTGGAAGAAGACTGCGCATAGCCGGTCGCAGCACTACGGCTCCGGTTGGCCATTTCTTGTGCCGCTGACGACCTCTTGAGACTCTCAGCCTCACTAACAAGCTCCTTGGTACCGGGGATCTTGCCCAAGAGTCCAGTCAAGGCATTCAGGGAGTTGTTGGACTGTGCACTCGTTTCGGCATCACCGAGCGCAATATCCATCTCGTTGACCTCGGATTGAGTGAAATGATCATTTGCTTCTCCCATCACAGAATGGAAGAAATCGACCATACCAAAGGTTCCAGTCACAAGCGGGAAAACGTGATGTCCATGAAGGTTGATTTGAGTGGCAGTACCCGTGTGCGGAAATACGTTCTTGAAACCCATCTCACGCAGCACTAACTCGACATAGTTGGTGTGTGCGGCGAAATCCTCCAGCGTGTGTAGTCCCTGGCCTAGGCACCGGAGTGCTTCACACAAGTCCTCCTCGTTGCCCTTCTTGTGTCCGCCATTGGTGTAGGTCCGTCCAAAGTGGATACTGCGGCTAAGACTGAACTTGATAAAGGCAGCGCTGGTGGCCCAGTCGCCTCGCTCATTGGCGATATAGTTCTTCATACCGGTGTTCGGGTCGATTTCGAGCTCGACAGCACGAACGGGTGGGCGCAACCGCTTGTCATATTGGCGCGCATCTTCATTGTCGGCATAGTCCTTGGGGTTACTGCGAGAAAGAAGACAATCAGTACAACTTCTAAAGAATTAAGAATTGAGCTGCACTTACTCGATATGTTCCTCTGGACGGTAAACACCCAATCGATCCGAAGTCACCTCGAATTCACCCGTGGCATAGCCGAAGCTCAGGAACGAAAGGACCCACACCAAAACACGGATCGTATCGGCCTGCAGATTTTTAAGAGTTCCAACATCCATTGCCTGAGAGCTACAGAAGCTGTCAGAAATACAAATCGATCGATAGATTCTTTGGTAACTCACTAATCACGCAACCAGTTGCCAAAATAGACACGCTTGATCATGGTGGAGGTCCATTTGTGACCGGAGATGAAAGCCAGCGTCTTGAGGACATCTTCGATATCACCATGGCGCCAGTTCTTGCCTTCGACGGCGGAGATAGAGGCGATATTTCCAGCTCCAAAGGCGTGTACTTGCGGGAGTATTAGGAGCAGTACTAGCAGGGCGGAGCCCGCGTGGAGGAGGGGCATGGCGGGGTTGAGATTTGCGCCGTGGTATTTTTCTCGAGATGCAAGAGGATAATATGGAATATCCCAAAAAGGCAGAAGCTAAATAAACAAGCAAAAGGGGGTTTAAGAGAAAAAAGATCCAGTGCGATCTCAAACTGTGGCAGAGGACTCAGCCCTCTGGCTCTTGGCTGTTCTTGGCATTTGGTGATCCCCATGACGTCTCTGTTCTGAAACAAGAAATTCGAATTTGTTATGTTTGATTTGGGATTATTTTTAGTAGAATTAACTAGAACAATGTATACACATTATACTATGTACTATGTGGTATATAATATAATATAATATAATTTATGTAAATAACAGGACCAAGCAAAGGTCACATCTGGAGATCCACGGTAGCATCCAAGTGCCAGAAAAGTAAATGCGACATTGCGTCGTATTGTTTTTAGCCTATCTCAACCCCGCAGACTATAAATTTCAACATTTAGATCTCCAGATATTTCCCCGATCTCCAGGTACTCAACTTCTAATTGTCTTACTCTTTCACCTTTTCTCTACCAAAATGTCTACCCCAAACCTAGACGCCCTCAAACGCGATGGCTTCGTAGTAGTCCGAAACCTCCTCACCCCAACCGAGGTATCGCACTACCGCGAAATCGCTACAAAAGCAACAACCCTAACTCGGAGCGGAAGCTGGCCACACTTCCGCACTGTCCCAAAACAATTTCCACCATGGCCGACCACAGCACCTCCCGCCTCGGAGGGCGGAATCTGGGGAGTGCAGCACCTAATGCACCCCGAAATGCCAGGCCGGGAGAGTTTCGCACGATGCTACTTCTCCCCCACAATTCTCGCCGTAGCGGAAGAGCTAATGGGTGTTGAAAACGGCGCCAGCAGCGAGACTGAGCCGCTCGTTATGGAACTATTCAATCTGCTCGTGGCGCCGGAAACCAAAGACTTCGAGCTCCGCTGGCACCGCGACGATATCTCCGAGAACGCAACTGCCGAAGAAGAGCTAGCCCAGCTTGCAGCTAAGGCACCTGGCGGCCGTCAGTCGCATTGCCAGTATAACTTGGCGCTGTGTCCTGATGCGTCGCTAATTGTTGTGCCGGGGACACATGCGCGTGCACGCACGCAGGTCGAGCGTGAGGCCGATCCTTACGCGGCTGAGCTGCCGGACCAGTTGGTTGTGCAATTACAGCCTGGAGATGCGGTGTTTTATAATAGTAATATTTTGCATCGTGGAGTTTATCGGGGGAAGAGTGAGGGTGGGGTTGAGACGAGGTTGACTTTGCATGGAAGTCTCGGGTTGAAGGCTTCTGGAGATGGGGGTAATGATGCTGAGGAAAAGAAGAAGGTTAGGGCTACTGCGGTGTTGCAGCATGGGGTTGGGGCTTGGGTTCATCGTGATGATGCTGCTTTCGGCCTCGGGGAGAGGGCCGAGAGGATGAGGGCTAATCTTGTTGAGATGGGGACTGGGGAGGGTGTTGGGTTTTCTTTGCAGGGGTAGAATTTTCAAAGTTTCTTGAGGAAATTGTGAATATTGTTGTTGGCTGTATGGATCTACCACTGGATCTGATTATCTTATGCATAGAACAGAACCTTGGAATATACAAATGATGAAGCTTTGCACCTGGGGGCGTAGCGCCGTAGCCCTTCCATTCCTACTCGATCAAATCCTCTAGATGAAAGCTCGGGTGTCCATTAATCCTCCGGCCTATTGTATAATTCTCCTCGTGTGGCTAATACACCTGACATTTCATTGCCCTTTAGGTCTTTAGCAATGCTGCTCTCATCATGCAGGATCGCACCTGCTCCTATATACAAACGGTAGACCCACATCAAACCACGTGATCACGATCACGATTTTACGCTAATCTGCATCTGGTCTAGTTCAAATCTCCCTTGGCCAGACTCCACTCGGCAATCCCAAAGATCCGCCCAACATTATCTGATAAATCACACTCCTCGATACTGGCTTTATTCTTGCTCTGAGTCAAGGAACTCCCAAAAGAGCTGCGCAAATGACCCAAGATGTAATTATCCCGGGTAATACCAGTGCCACCCTGACACTTAGCAAGTGAGTCCTCACCCCAAACAACAAGACAAACCGACGAGTCCGACAGGACTCTTAGTGGCATCACCTGTTGCCGCTACATGCCAAACCTGGAAGTCTGAGGTACTGCATTTTTCAAAGATCACAGAATCAGAAGAAGCAGTTATACAAAGACCAGAGGGGTTTATTGAAACCATCCCGGTAGGGGTGGTCTTAATACAGCTTTTCGGCAGTGCAATGCGGTAAACAAACCCTGGCAACATGAGAATCGGGCTGAATGCTCCAGGCTGCCCAGCTGGCCGAGAGTGACTTCATTGGTCTCTTTGCAACAGTGGAGTAGAGACAAGACGAGATAATATAATATGCTTTGATGGCGCAGGTTTTTAAGTGACTGAGGCGTATGTTGTAAAGTATCCCGGACTCTTTCGCTCAACTTCGTTCACTAGCTCACTAGCTCACTTTCAAGGATTCCCCGCACCGAGGTCGCATCTATAACGCACTGGGACCTGCTAGTAATAAGAATTGTGACGGTACCATTGACATATAGCATCTTTGATGAAGTAGCATATATCGGCACACAACACAAGAGTTCCTCGCAGGGCATACTGAATCCAATCCAAGATCTGCAAGACACGCCGATCTTCACGAGAAGACAATTCGGGACTTTACCCAATCAGAGTGCCGCAGAGCTTTCACCCAGAGTCAAAGAGAGAGAAAAAAATGGATCCGAAATACGATCGCTCACATTTTTCCCTAAAAGATATGTTGTGGCACAGCTGAATGCATGGACGACCGGGATGCAAAAATCCGAACTTTTCTTAGTGGAACCCCCCGCCCTCACCTTCAACGGTTTCTCCGATTTCTCCGATTATCCCTCTGGGGAATTGACTTTTTGAAAACATATTTGTACCAGTATTTTGTATTACTATGGTAGAGTGGTATTCTTGCAATGCCCCCAGACTCTAAGACAAAGATACGCCCGCAGCAGTCGTGCCTCAGATGTCGTGAGCGCAAAGTGAAGGTACCCGATACTGCCCTATCGCTCGACGTTCCCACATCACTATCTCTACGTCTTCAAATCAATCCGCAGTCACTAATCATCACTCTCTAATCACCAGTGCGACCGTTCTATCCCATGTCACGCCTGCATAATCCGGGGTCTCGAAGCAGAATGTACCTACCTAACAACGGCCGAAGATCGCGCCCACATCAGTCAATCCGAGATAATCAACCAACTACGCCGCGAAGTCGCACAACTGCGGGGGCGCCTAAACCACAATCCACGAGAGCCAAGCCATAGCAAGAGCCAGAGTCAAAGCCAGAGTCAAAGCCAGCGCCAGCGCCAGCGATCGCGCCCGGGCCAAACGGGCGGGACTTTCCCAGGCAACGGTCATAGTTGGACACAATATGCGCCTACGAACACGGGCTATAATTACGACAGCCATGGCCATGGCAATGGCTCTGGATATGTGACCGGCGCTGGCGCTGGTTCTGCCTCGGCTAGAGGTACCCCGGATACTGGTGAAGGCAGCTGGCGCGGGTCGTCGCCATCCTCGTCGATCACGACCACGACGAACTCTGTGACTGTTACGAGTCCTGATAGTACGGGGAGTGAGAATGGGACTGGGCCAATGTCTACTTCGTCGCGGTCGGCTTCCGCTTCAGCTTATCCTATCGCGACAGGGTATGCGCCGCAAGCTGCGGGGCTGGATGGGTCGACTACAGTTGAATCGCTTGCTTTTGGAAGTGTGTCCTATTCTCACTCCGCTTGTTTGTAGCGCTTATGCTAACTTTGGATAGATACTCTAGAAGACGCGACAATGTCTGGATATCATGCCGGAGGCATGACCTTCACTCCGGGGGACATGTCTGGAACAATCCCAGTATCGATGCAGGGTCTCCCAATGCACGGGTTTCACGCACAGAATGCGATGCCAGCGATGCACCACCCACCGCTATACGGAGCCAATAGCGATGATTATATGCTTGACGGAAGCAAAGCACTACCATTCCTACAACACACTGGCTATCCCGCACCTATACCAACATCAACAGCAACACATTACGGGGAAGAACATTCGATACCAAATGACGATGACAGGGCTCATGCATATTATCAGTGGGGGCAAGATGCATATGGGAATCTGAATCCTAGTCCGAACCAATTTCCGCACACGCACACATACCAAAACCCGTCTCATTATTCAACTATCAACCCTTTTACCAACAGCGCCGTCACGACCACCAACACAAACATCAACATCTATACAGATGCATCCTTCTCCGTACCCACCCCGATACCCGTGGCAAGCGATACTTCAAGTCATGCCAGCCCCAGCTCCCAGGATCGTCCTTCACCAACAACCATCATGAATTCAATGCCAAACTCCTGGGAGGTCGAGGGGAAACAGGAGCTGCTGGAGGTGCTGCTAGAAACAATCGCCACCTGTGACGAGCAAAGTCTACCCCAGGTGATTCAGGTCATGCGGGAGAGTCCTTCACCCGAGGAGGCTGTCTCGGGGGTTTGTCGGGTTCTCGGGATTGGAAATGGCCGGTGACGAAGGCATGAGCGCACACAAACGGAGCCCTGGCATCGTGTGCATATGCCGAATGCGCTGGGATCAATTGGTTCGGGACACAGAGCTGGACCTCTGGGAAACCCGCTCAGTGGATATATTGATCATATAGCCAGGATCGTGGTCTATACCAAGCAGGTAAAGACAGTGAGATCGTCTGAGACAGAATCACCGCACCGCGCCATGGTATATTTCCATCCTCTCATGCTTCACGATATCCACCCTGCCTACATGAATATGAACATAATGAAGCAAAAAAAAAAAAAAAAAAAAAAAAAAATTCTAGCACATAGGAGCCTTTATACATTAATGCGTGGAAATATAATCAAGCCATATTTCATGGCGACAGAGCCTGGAGAAGCTGATAGGGAGAGAAGTATTCTCTATCTCAGCTTTAGGTCATGGGGTATCATTATCATAATCATCGTTGCCACAGTCCAAGTCTCAAGATGCCTCGGAATCAGTGGATGCATCATCGAAAGGCCGTTGTCCGTAGACAAAGTGGAAGCGCACATAAAGGTGGTGCGAGTTGCTCATCAATTCTGCCCGCGCATTCTCCATATGCTCTTGTGCATCCTGGTACGAGAGGCCCAGGACACGGGTAAAGAGAGCGAGCGAGTACGGCTCTATGGTTTCCATGATAGACACCTTGCCAATGCGACCGATTTCTTTGTAGCGGCTGTTCTTGGCCCAGCCACCAACAGGACTCTAAAAGTAGGTCAGTATGCGAAACAAAACAACAGCCGCAAAGACAGTGACACCATACCTTATAAATATCATCGATAACATTTGAAAACCCTTGCTCAATCATCCACTGCTCAATCTTCGGTGCAACATCCATCGGCTTCCCAAACTTCTTACTAGACTGAGTCAACAGCTCCGCCCAGCTATTGATAGCAGAAGCGTTCTCATGGGTCCCATCATCGGACCACACAAGGTTCTCAAATTCCTGCGCCTCAAACCAGCCGCCCGGCTTAAGGTGCTGATAAGCCTGCTTAAGCAGCTTCGGCCAATCCCCAATCCCACCGGCCAGAGTCCTTGCATGGATATAGTCGAACGCTTCACCGGGCGAAAAAGTCCAGTCACTCTCTGCGTCATCAATAAAGAAGCGACAATTAGGTGGCGCCCAGTTCGGCTGGATGGGGCTAAGATCGGTGCCGATGATGTCCGCCTGCGGGTAATCTTCGGCCATTTCCAGGGCCCATTCACCGGGGCCGGTGCCGATGTCTAGAATACGGCGCGGATTGGTGTCGTTGATTGGTGCGCGGTGCAAATCCCCGCCTGTGAGCAGTTTGAAGAGGTGGTGGGTTAGAGCTAGGCGGTCCTGTTCTTCTTGGTCGTTTGGGAAGGGGTATTGGCCGTTGCGGTAGGCGTGATAGCGGCGGCCATTTTCGTAGCTGTAGTCTCGAACAGAGGAGGCAAAGGAAAGGTTTGAGCCTGAAAGGGTTTGGATTTCGAAGAGGGAGTCGTCGTCGCTTGTCTGAGGGGTTGTTAGTTGGGGTTTGGAGATTATTGGAGATTAGATCATAAATTCGGAAGAGTGGGAATTGGAGTTGTGAGATCGGCCAGGGAGGGTGAACTAATTTTTGGGGTGCTGGCAGATACAAGGGTAGGAGGTAGGAATGGGGATCAAAGAAGTCCAGTGAAAAGAAATGGTCTACTTACGTCGACTTGAATGCGTTCATTGAGATTGGGTTGTGACATGGCGAGATAGGGGAGGTAGGGAGATTGGGAAGAAAGAGAGGAGGAGAGAGGAAGAGGTAGGGGAAAGGAGAGGGAGGTTTTTTTTTTGGTGAAGAGAGAAAGTAGAAGAGGGGAAGTGAAATGAAGCTATCAATTCCAAGTCTAAGAAAACTAAGAAACCCGAGAGAGAGGATACCGGGAGGAACCCTAGCGTAGCCACTTATTATTTTTTTTCTACCACCTGGCCGGTTCCGTACCTTTGTTTTCTGTTTGACCCCGCAGGGGGAAATCCGACAGGCTGGTACGGGAAAGTCGCCCATTCCAAATCGGTCTACTTGAGTGTTCCTAGGTGGCTCCCGGGATTTGGATTTTCGATTAGCGCATTTCCCAAGGTTCCAAGGTCCCCTGTTTAGCCCCGGGATCTCAACCCTGATTGACTGGGCAGGTGGACACCTTCGCACCTTCTATACCTGCACTAAACGCCTTGGCGCAAAGATATTATTTTTAATGATAAAATTTGGAACTCTCCAAGATATCGAAGGGTTGTTACTCCCAACAATAAACCTACTACTGCGTGACCTGTTGGACAAGTTTCTGATGCGCATGGATTCAGGTCACATAGGGTCGCTAGTATCTACAATCTAGATATCGCCGAGAAATGATATTTCTACTTGGCTACCCAAAAATATGTATACCGTGCGTGGCACTTAATGTGATATGATGATATCATGATGGTTTCTCTGCACTTATCTACAGAGGTGAGGACATCCTTACAGCCCTAAAGCTTTTTGTACAAAGGATGGTCACTGGGGAAAATCAGATGCTCTGTCGGATGCATAAGAGCGGAGAGAGGAGGGACTGACCGCCGAGTATCCATAGGAGATCATAGTCTCAGAGTATCATCGACCCATCTTAACGTCGATCGCCCTGGACAGCAAGATGCCGAGCATTTGAGTCTAAAGCCTGTATTGAGTGGTGTTTTCGCTAAACTCGTCGGTTTCAGTACATTGGACCCAGATGGCGAGAGCTATGCTGGAAGGAAGCTTCTACTAAGGTTCGATGTGAAAATTTTCGCAGAAATGGGTAAGACTCGTGGATTTTCAAAGCTTACTGCATAGAGCAGGTTCCTTTTGTACAAGCTGTTCCATTGCAAAACTCCGTTGCTAGATCGGCCGTGTATATCGTATGTACTAGATTTGACCCGTTGAGCCCAGATACGCGCATCACTTTTAGCTAGCGACTACTGAGAGGGCAAGTTCTGATCGACCTCGGGAGGAGCAGTAAACCAACTACCACCCTAGCTAACAAACTAAGCTTACTTTTATTTTTGTTGCAAGATTCACCTTAATCTCTTTACTCCTTGTCTTTATCCTGACTGTATTTCACTTTTGCCTAATATTTACTTCTACTCTAATATCATAGGATCTACCATACTCTCTCTTTACATCAAAGTTTGTTTCTTCTTATGCTACAGACGTTGGTCTTCTTGAAATTTTCAATCGTCCTATCGCAATTGCAGTTGTTAAATACCCCTTCCTCCATCTGGTATAAATGTAGTATTCATTCGCCTTATAATGAATGCTCCGCTTCTAGAATGATCTCGAGATCCTTGGGAAGGCGCAGGGATGTTCCAAAGTTACCCCGCGCTGCGAGATCCATGGGATAAATAGGCTCTTAACGGGTCGGTCCTCCCGGTCCGCACCGTCAATTCCGTATCTTTCCAAGGTTCCAAAATTTCCAAGGTTATGTCCATATCTTTAAGCTACAGCTGCTACAAGAGTCATACCAGAAGTAAGATATTTGTCCATGTATACCTAGATCTTACCTATTGAGGTTGGTTTACTAAGCCACCGTCATAGCCCTGGAACCCGGACGCTCCGGGGCCACCTAGGTGGAGCCCTGGATGGCGTGCTCAGTTGTACCCAGTGACCACGAAGCGGTAAAAGGTGAGCCCTGACACAGAATGGGAATCCCAGAGACACTGCAAGAGACACTGTAGGTATACCCAAGCCAGATGGGATAGAGCCTAACTCCGCTCGAAAACTTGGGAGATATGAAAGGAAATATTCGTAAAGGGAAGAAGAAAAAAAACTCGCCAGAAGAAGCAAAAATAAAAAAGGCAAAAAAGAGGCAAAAGTCAAAACAAGGATCATCCCTGAACTTAGACCCGTCTGTCTGGTACGTCCCCACACGGGACGGATCCATAAACCCTGGGTGGTTCCGACTGAAATGGGGAGGGTTTGCAGAAACAGGGGTGTCCTGACTCGTTCACTTTTCTATTAGTACATATGTACTTTTGTTTCGAGCTAGGTTGTAGATTGCACAAAATAAGGGTGCAAACAACCTTGGAAGTCACTATACATTATATTATCACCCCCAATTACTTATCTCTTGTCAGAGTCTGAAGACTTGAAATGACTAGACCTCTAGCCCAAAGTTAATCGAACAAAGAAACAGGACGTTACAGTAGTGTTTGGGCTTGGGAAAGGGGATGGAAACAAAGAACTGGCATTCATGGAGAACCCCGATTCAGTCCAGGGTCCCTGCTACAAGGGGTGCTAATTCTCATTTACAGTACGATAGGTGGAAAAAGAAAGGGAAAGGGGGTATGTTTACGCTGTACAAGCGACAGATACAATCCCTTGTATGTTTTATTGACATCCATGCATCAAACCATTAATAACCCGGGGAAGGGTACTCGTAACAACAGCCTCGAGTAAGGTTTCACCCAGCTCCATTCACAGGCTCTGTAGCTTAGCTTTCTCATCCGGAGTCAGCGCCGCATACAATTCTTGGAAACCAGGCTGCGTGGAGGCCTGTCGGAAGAAATCTGCCAGGAAACCCTGCGTTTCATCGTCTCGGCGACGCACACCGAAGACACTTTCGGAGCCACCCTCGCCGAAGTTCATCAGCCCCTGCTTCGTAGCTCCGATACCGAGGTCCAGGACCTGACTGGGGAGATCCTCCCAGTCGTCGTCACCATCGTCGCTGTCAGCTTCGTCCAGGGCTGCCGCGGTGGCAGCGTCGATTTCTTTGTTTCCGGATGCTGCGCCCAGCTCTTCGACTAGAACCTTGACGATCTTCAGTGGTGCGGGCACGGTAGTGAATTGGTCTGGATTTTTGCGCGCCTGGGAGCGAGTCTTGATTCGGCCAGTATCCTGGATGATGAGGTCACCTTTGACGGGAACTTCGGCCACGCGTGGGTCGGCGAGCTCGTATAGTCGTGCCAGGGCGAAAATGTTTTGTTTGATCTCGTCATAGCCGGCGAAGTTGACGGAGTTCTCAAGCCACTTGCTTAGAACCACGACGAGTCCGCTCTGGCCGCCTAGGTTGACCTGGGCCAGGAAGTCCACTACCTCGCGTGCGCTGATGAGAGTAAGTCGCGCAAAGACGAGGATGAGACTTTGGATGAATTGCGCTTGTTGTGCAGTCGCTAGTCGCTGCGCCACGGCTTGCAGGAGCTGCGGCAGGTAGGGACCGAGGCGCTCGGAGCCAGCCCGTTCAACCAGCTCTGCTGCTAGCTGGCCAACCTCTGTGGCGGCGTTGTCATCCACAGCCGGGCCCAGAAGACGGTCAATGATAACCAACACTACTTCAAGTGCTTCCTTTCCAGACTGAGGATCACGCCAGACAATGAACTGCGCAAAGTCGTGGGAGAGCATGTGTCGTACAGCCTCCGTTGCGGGTCGGATCAATTCGGCCTCATCTGAGTCTAGCAGCAGGCGGTTCAACTTTGGCATCACCGTCTCCACGAAACCAGCGGGCATCGGCTCGGGACTCCGCTCGGCCAGAGCGCGAAGAAGATCTGCTGCAAAATTTGTTAAAGCATTCTCTTCCGTCAAGTTGCCTACATCAATCGCGCCCATCAGTGATGGAAGCACCTTCTCGCAAAGCTGCATGTAGGAATCGGGACCGTTGTCGGTAATCTGGTCCACAATATCTTCAAATGCCTCTGTAACGGTCAATGTCAATTGGAAGTTTTCGGCTCCGCTACTAGCAATATTGAACAGCACGTCAATGGCACTAGAAGACAGAACCACACTAGAATCGGCCATAATAGTGTCACGGAGGGTTTCCGCCAACGTAACCTTGAGATCATCAGAGTCAGTCTGTTCACGAAGGTCGTGTGCAGAGATGAATTCTGAAATGGCCGCAATCACTGCAGGCTGGAAGGGGCGGGCCAAGCCCGTCGGCAAAGCGGGCATCAAATCTTGTAGCACTCGGATGCAGGCCACTTGGACCACCTCGGCGGGGTCTTCGGCGATCGCCTTCAAAGTAGCCTCCAAGTAGGACGATGTGGTCTGTTGGAATGCCTCACCGGCGACCTTGGACAGAGCGCCAGCCACAAGGTAGCCTCGAGCGCGCAAGAGCTCCTGTTCTTGCTGGGTCGCATATTGAACGAATTGGGTGAAGTGGGATGCCAGCTCAAGTGATATCTCTTGATCCACTTCGCCAAAGTCTCGGAGCAAGCAGTTGAGAATGTAGAGGGAGGCTTCTCGTGATTTCCATCTATTTGCGTCATGGTCAATATAATGTTATAGTCGAAATGTAGAGTGATACTCACGAAACAGACGAATCAGCAAAGAGGGTGTTCATGTAGCCCAGGAGACCCTCCGCAGCTGTACCCTTCAGCCATTCACCAGCCTTGATCGCTAGATCTCCACTGCAGGTTCGAGGAGTGTAGTTGGCCGTGACGGAAGTCTCCTCCGAGAGGAAAAGGTTCACATCAATCTCCCATAGAGCCTCCTCTTCTGTTGTAATCTGTGCATAGGAACTGGCGAGCTTCATAATTTCCGGAAGCCAGCTGGACGTGCTGGCAGTCGCACCAGCATTTTGAAGTTGCTGCTGCAGCTCTGCTTTTACGGGGGGTGCCTTCAAGAGGGCCTGGATAATATCAAGCTCCTCCAAAACGAGGAAATCCAGCGAGTGGGGAAGTCCGTCCGCATCCTCCAAGCGACTCTGCCTCTCCTCCTCAATGTAGAAATTCTGGTAGATTGGCAATGCGTTGGTAAGTTCCGTCC